AGAGAAAGGCAGTAGTTTTAGAAATGGATTTGAGGATTGTTTCATACAAAGTGTGACGGAGGTCTGGAATATGCTGACTGGGAGAGCAGTTCAGGCAGGAAACCTCCCAACATTTAAAACTTACTTGGACAAGTGGTATAAATTTCAAGGCTATGGGGTAAAGTCTGAGAAAGTGGGTCTACTGTAGATTGTGGTATATTTTTGGCGGTACAGACTCGATAGGCCGAATAATTCTATGAGTCTATGAATAGAGGCAATTCCTGTCTTTATATTGAAATGATTAGAATACAAATGACCACTTTCAAAGTCATGTTAGAGTCAAGACTTTAACTCTGCTTCCTGTTCCACATGACATGCCTGACTTGCTGATTACCTCCAGCAATTTCTGTTTTCCACAATTTATTCATCCTTCAGAACTTTTCTCATCCACAGCAAGACTGCTCTGAGCAGCTCCAGTCGAGCTGAAGGATAGATTAAACTGGGAGGTGTGCAGAGTCAGTTCAATAAAAAAGAATCACTGCACTCCAGAACCTACATTGATATTTTTCTAGTAGAAACAATAATTCAAAAGAGGACAATATCGACATGAATTGTAATATTATTCTGTGATTTGTAGAATGTTTTAACACCATAAAATTAAACAGTAAGGTTTCAAACATAGTGTTAAAGTACAGTACTAGGATTCTTAAAGGAAGTGGACATTCAGTTTTTAAATATATCTGTCTGTTTCTGCGTCTGTCGGTTTGTCTATCTATCCATTGATCCATCCATTAACCAACCAACCGAATCTGACAGACAGAGTAATATGTTCCACCTCCTTTTAAGACCATAAGAAATAGGAACAGGAGTAGGCCATACAGCCCCTCGAGCCAGCTGTACCATTCAATAGGATCGTGGCTGATCCCACATTCCTCACGTCCACTTTTCTGCCCTTTCCCTGTAATTCTTCATTCCTCGACTGATCAAGAATCTACCTGTCTCAGCCTTAAATATGCACAAGGACTCTGCCCCACACACAGCTCTCTGTGTCAAGGAGTTCCAAAGACATCAGTCTTCAACTGGCGCCCCTATATTCTGAGACTGTGCCCTCTGGCCCTAGACTCTCCAATGAGGGGAAATATTCTCTCAGCATTCACCCTGTCAGGCCCCTGTATGTTTCAATGTCATCACCTCTCATTTTGAACTCCAGTGAGTACATCCCAACCTGTTTAGCCTTTGCTCATAAGACAGTACCTCCACACCAGGGATCATCCTGTACTTTGTCACCAACTCATTCTGGAAACATCATGAGACAGTACCAAATGGGGAACAGGAGTAGGCCATTCAAACCCTCTAGTCTGCCCTAGCATTCATCTTGGCTGATCATTCCACTTTCTTGCCCTTCTCACCCGTCACCCTTAATACACTGACTGATCAAGAATGCAATCGGTAAATTCTTTGCCCCTCAAAATTTGGTTGACAATGTAAATGGGGCGATATCAGATCCTTAACCAGGTATTCAGCACCTTCACACTTGATTCCAGGATTGGTCTGTTCAATACATCGTCAATAACTTTTAAAATTGTTGATTCATAGGATCTAGGCATTGCTGGCTGGATCAGGATTTATTAGCCATCCCTAAATACCCAGTGAGGGTAGTTAAAAGGCAGTCACACTGCAGTGGGGTCTGGAGTCACAGGTAGACCAGACCAAGTAAGGATGGCAGGTTTCCTTCCCTAAAAGGATATCAGGGATCCAAATGGGTTTTTACAACCATAGACAATGGATTCATGGTCATCATTCGACTCTTAGTTTTCATTGTTTACATTTTAATCCTGTCTTAATTGCTTCAAAACATGTTTTAGCATACTAAACATACAAAAGAAGAAAATATACCTTAGTTACAAAATCATTTAAAGTACAGAATGCCCAAGGTTGGCACTAGGATTTGAGCAAAAGTAGAGTCACTGAACAGCCTGAGCAGATTAAGGCAAGCCCACATTGCTCCAAAGTCTAATATCATTTTTAAATTAGTAAAAGGATGCCTGAAAGCATTTTGCTGAATTGTTACAAGATTGAACCAATTGTGAACTATGCAATCACTTTAAAGCATGAATGTTACCTTGAACACCATACACAGAATGGTTAAGGCCGGAAAAAAGGCTTTTGATGAGATTTTGATTTTTCATTTCACTCCTAATTCCAGGATTTTATTGATTGAATTTGAATTCCACCACCTGCCGTGGGCAGATTTTGGACCTGGATCCTGAGAATTTGACCTGATAATATCACTAGGGCATTGCATCAAATTGAAATCTGCTCACTGTATTTTATACTTTGAGGATAAAGTCTTTCAAAAAGACGATTGGGCTGCTCTCCCATTTAAGAGAGAGGTGACTGGTGGTGGGTTAATCTGAGGGTCAGGTGAGGGAAGAAGTAGAGAAGGAGAGACTTTCATGGTAACCATGGAGATGAGGCCCCACTGTTGGCATCAGTCTACATTTCACACAGGCTATCCAGCCAACTGAGCTAACCAGCCCCTGAATTTTGCCCTGCCTTTCAGGCTAGAATTATGTTGTGCTTTTTGTTTAATTCCACAGAAGTTGTCAATGTAAGCTACGCTGGAGACATAAAGGAAGGAAGCCCTTGAAAAAATCCAGTATTCTGTGACATCATCGCATCAAAATGGCATTCTGGTCATTACTGGATGGTGTGCTTTTCATAAATTCAAGCACGTAATTCTTTAAATTTAGAGTCAGAGGGGTCTACAGCACAGAAAAAGGCCCTTTCGTCCACCATGCCCATGCTAGTCAAAAACAACCACCTCACTATTCAATAATCGCATTGCCCCAGCACTCAGCCCAAAGCCTTGGCATCACAAAGAGCCATCTAAATCATTCTTCAATGTGATGAGGGTTTCTGCCTCTCCCAACCTGCCAGGCAGCGAGTTCCATATTCCCGACTACGATCTGGGTGAAAAAACCTTTCCTCACACGCCCCTTACTTTCAATCTATGCCGCTGATCACTGATCCCTCCATCAAGGGGGAAATGTTTCTTTCTATCCACCCTATCTATGCCCTTCATCATTTTATACACCTCAATCATGTCCCCCCTCTCTCAATCTGCTCTGCTATAAGGAAAACAACCCCAGTCTATCCAATCTCTCTCCATCACTGAAACTCTCCTGCACCCAAAGCAACTTCCCGGTAAATCTCCCTCTTCCCACTCTCCCATTGCTATCACATCCCTCCTGGAATGTAGAATCCAGAACTGCACACAGTACTTCAGCAGTGTGGCTGAACAAACTCATTTTCTTTACCCATTTATACTCATTTGTAATCTGGTTATTGAGAATTCTGTGATTCATTACATTTGGATTTGTTCAAGGATGAAAGCATTTTACCTGTGCAAGGAAGTGAATGCTTATTGCCTTTAGTTGGAAGAGTCGAGGCATAGACTATTTTCCAAATGGGGAAAGGCTTCAGAAATCCGAAGCACAAGGGACTTGGGACTCCCAAGTTCAGGATTCTCTTCAGGTTAACAGGCAGGTTCAGTTGGCAGTCAGGAAGGCAAATGCAATGTTAGCCTTCATTTCAAGAGGTATGAATGCAAGAGCAGGGATGTCCTGCTGAGGCTGTATAAGGCTCTGGTTAGACCACATTTGGAATATTGTGAGCAGTTTCAGGCCCCGTATCTAAGGTAGAATGTTTCGGAGGAGGCCCAGAGAGATTGACATGAAAGATCCCAGGGATGAAGAATTTGTCATAAGAGGAGAGTTGAGGACTCTGGTTCTGTACTCCACAGAGTTTAGAAGGATGAGGGGGAATCTGATTGAAACTTGCAAAATATTGAGAGGCCTTTTTATTTTGCAATTTATAATATTTCTCATACTGCATTGCTTACCCTTTAGGGAGGTAGTGAAATACTTTTCTTTACTCAGAGAGTGGTAGGGGCGTGGAATGCATTGCCGGAGAGGGTAGTGGAGTTGGCCTCATTAGGGGCATTTAAGCGGCTATTAGATAGGCATATGGATGATAGTATAAGGTAGCAGTGGAGGTTAGATAGACCTTAGGTTTCAGGTAAAAGTTCGGCACAACATCGTGGGCCAAAGGGCCTGTACTGTTCTGTGTTCTATGTTTAAGTACATAAGGAATATGAAAGGTGAAGGCTGGGGACAGTGTGCAAATGGTGCAAGTGATATTCAAGACCATAAGATGAAGGAGAAGACATTCGGCCCTTTGAGTCTGCTCCACCATTCGATCATGGCTGATGTTTCTCAACTCCATTCTCCTGCCTTCTCCTTGTAACCCTTGATCCGCTTACCAAAAATCAAGAATCTACCTATCTCTGTCTTAAATACACTCAGTGACTTGGACTGCACAGCCCTCACCTCCTCCGGTCATTGATCCCTCCATCAAAGGGGAAACATTTCTTCCTGTCTACACTATCTAGTCCTCCTCATCATTTTATGCACCTCAATCATGTGTCCTCTCTCAACCTCCTCTGCTCTATGGAAAACAGCCCCAATCTGCCCAATCTCTCACCATTGAATTTCTTCAGCCTCCAACGCAACACCCTGTTAAATCTCCATCTGCACCCTCTCCCAACGCTATCACATCTCTCCTAGAATGTGGATTCCAGAACTGCACACAAAACTCTCGCTGTTATACACTTCCAGCATCACCTCCCTGCTCTTAAACTCTTGGCTAATAAAGGCAGGTGTCCCTATACACCGCTTTAACCAATTTTTCCACCTGTATACCTTAAGGGACCATGCACACCAAGCCCTCTCTGACCCTGGTGCTTCCCAGGGTCCTAGTGTCCAACATGTATTCCCTTGCCCTGTTTGTCCTGCCCAAGTCCATCAGGTCACATATCAAGATTTCTGCAGGAACAAAACCAAGGGTTAAAACTCAAGAATACATAAAGCCACGGGGGACAAAGACTTTGATCTCTTCACGCAGTGATAAAGGCACATTTGGAGGATGATTGATGGCATATGCTCTCTTCTATCCTTCAGAAACTATCCAAATGCATTTGGCTGATGGAGGAGGACCATGCTCTGGCAGAGTGGAGCTCCTTGTCAACGGCACTTAGGGCGCAGTTCATAACGATAACTGGGATCTGCTCGATGCGAAAGTTGTCTGCAAACAAATGGAATGCGGGGCAGCCAGACTGGCGCCTCTTGGGGCCCATTTCGGAGCCACTGCTGCCCCCTTTTGGTTGGATGACGTTGAGTTCAGAGGCACAGAGTCTATTCTAATCCAGTGCCTCGCAAATGCTTTGGGAAAACACAACTGTGGCTCTGGCGAGGCAGCCTCTGTTATTTGCATAGGTAAGATCATTCTGAGTCCTTTTATAAATGTGAACTATAACTAGTGGGGTGCGACAGGGTTCAGTTCCTGGATCTCAACTATTTACAATCTATAAAAATGATGTGGAGGTGCTAGTGTTGGACTGGGGTGGACAAAGTCAGAAGTCACACGACACCAGGTTATAGTTCAACAGGTGCACCTACGAAGAGTCTGCGCTCTGAAAGTTTGTGTGATTCCAAATAAATCTGTTGGACTATAACTTGGTGTCGTGTGACTTCTGACTGTATGAATGATCTCCAAGTAGGGACAGAGTGTAATGTAGCAACAATCACATTTGATACTAAAATAGGTGGGATGGCAGGCTGTGATGAGGAGGTAGAGTTTAGGGATGGATATTGATAGGCTGGGAGAATGGGCCAGAATATGGCAGATGGAGTTTAATGTGGATAAGTGTGAGATTGTCCATTTTGACTGGAGAAATAAAAGGGCAAATTATTATTTAAATGAGAAGCAGATTCAAAGTGCCTCAGGGTACAGGTGTCTGGACATCCTTGTGCATGAATCATAGAAAGTGGGTAAGCAGGTGTAGCATAGAATAAGAAAGGCAAATGGGAACCTGGCATTTATTGCAAAACATAGAACATAGAACATAGAACATTACAGCGCAGTACAGGTCCTTCGGCCCTCGATGTTGCGCCGACCTATGAAACCAATCTGAAGCCCATCTAACCTAAACTATTCCATTATCATCCATATGTTTATCCAATGACTGGAATACAGAAGTAAAGAAATGTTACAATTATATAATGTACCGAGATACAGTGAAAAGTGTTGTTTAGCGTGTTGTACAGGCAGATCGCACCATAAAAAGTGCATCAGAGTAGCAGAACAGAGTGCAGAATACAATGTTACAGCTGCAGAGAAGGTGCAGAGAGATATTAGCATTTGAGTGTTCTATTCAATAGTCTGATAACAGTGGAAATAAGCTGTTCTTGAATCTGGTCATATGCATATACAAACTTTTACATCTCTACCTGACGGAAAAGAAGGGTCTTTGATTATGTTGGCTGCTTTTCCAAGGCAGTGGGAAGTATAGATGGGAGTCAATGGAAGGAAGGCTGGTTTGTGTGATGGTCTTGGCTGTGTTCATGACTCTCTGTAGTTTCTTGTGGGTTTGGGAAGACTAGTTGCCATACCAAGCTCTGATGCATCCAGATAGGATGCTTTCTATGGTGTATCCATAAAAATTGGTAAAATTCTTTGTGGACATGCCAAATCTCCTTAGCCCCTGAGGAAATAGAGGCATTGGTGTACTTCTTGGACTGTAGTTTCAAGATTGGAACCAGGAAAAGGTTGGTATATATGCTGAAGATGGGGTGGGGGAAGAAGGAGGAGTAAGTGATAGGTGGAGATGGAGCCCAGATAGAGAGAAAGGACAGGGTAAGGATGAGCCTGGGAGAATGAATAGCTGTCAAAGGTGACCTCAATGAGTTGTTTGTGATAGCAGCCCATGTGATGACAAGGTCTGGTATTTGGAAGCTCAGAGTCTTTATCGTGGCCCGAATATAGGTGTTCTGCAAAGTGGTCACCCAGCCTACGCTTCATTCTCCCAATGTAGAGGAGACCACATTGTGAGCAGTGAATATAGTAGACTAGATTGAGTGAAGTTCAGGTATGGAGATGGGAGAAGGTGTCCCAAGCCCTAAAATTATTGAACTCAATATTGAGTCTAGAAGGTGGCACATTTCCCAAGCAGAAAATGAGGTGCTTTTCTTCCAGCTTGCCCTGAGCTTCACTGGAGCACTATAGCAAGACCAATACAGAGATGTTGGCCAGCTAATATGGTGGCATGTTGAGGTGGCGGGGAGCTGGAAGCTCAGAGTCTTTTTCGTGGCCCGAATATAGGTGTTCTGCAAAGTGGTCACCCAGTCTACGCTTCATTCTCCCAATGTAGAGGAGACCACATTGTGAGCAGTGAATACAGTAGACTAGATTGAGTGAAGTTCAGGTGAATTTGAACATGGCTGATATGTTTCTCAACCCAATTCTCCTGCCTTCTCACTGTAAGCCTTGATCGCCTTACTAATCAAGAACCCATCTATCTCTGTCTTAAATGCACTCTGTGACTCATCCTCTGCAGCAGTGACTTCCACAGATTCACTACCCTCTGGCTAAAGAAATTCCTCCTCTTCTCAGGCAGAAGGCAGACATGGCAAATACTATGCGACATCGGTTTAAGGTGAGAAGGGGAAAGTTCGAAGGAGATGTGCAAGGCAAATCCTTTTTTATTATACAGAGTGATAGGTGCTTGGAATGTGCTCTAAATCCATTCACTCTGAGTCTGTGCCCTCCGGTCCTAATCTCTCCCACAAGTGGAAAAATCTTCTCCATGTCCAGTCCATCCAGCCCTCTCTGTATTCTGTAAGTTTTAATCAGATTCCCCCTCATCCTTCTAAACTACATGGACAGATCAATTAGCCAAGATATAGGTTAGTATATATAGTACTTTATTGTTAGAACTCACATTTCAATCTTGTGTTCCTTTAGAGCCCCCTTGAAGATAAAGACAGAAATAACAAGTGAAACCCACACGTAATTCAGAAATGTACAATAAACCGAAGAGTGTCGGAATTCTGAATGAAACACATTTCAATGATAATCATTTTCCCATTGGTGTGTGAAACAATGCAGCACTGATGGTTGTAATAACTCATGAAGAACAACTGGGAAGGACCATCGTTTGTTGTTGAACATTAAACTAGAGCCACAACTCGTGGCGTACGTGGGCTAGTCGCAGCCTGGGTTGGACAGTTCTGCAGACCCGTCCCTGAGTCTGTTATATAAAGGGCTAGGTGATGAGTTCCAAATGGCCAGAACATTGCCTGTTACCACACTCAATAATGTCCATGAGGAGATTAATCAGTGATTCTCCATGGGCCTTGCAGAGGTTAACACAACGGCCTAACACCATTATTGCTAGATTATTAATCCAGAGATTTACCTATTGTTCTGGGGGCTTGAGTTCAAATCCTGCCCATGGCCAAAGATGGAATTTGAGTTCATTTGAAACAATCTATAATAAAAAGTCTAATGATGATGCTGTTGATTATTGGGAAGAGGAAAAAAACAAATCATCTAGTTCAGTTTCACCCTATCAAGTATGAAATTTGCTGTCCTTCCTTTGTCTGGCCTACATATCCTCAGGATGTGCAATGCTTATGGATTTTCTACTCAACCTGCTCAGAGATTGCACACCTCTGCAGCAGATGGGCTCTGAGGTAGGGACATTAATACTGTGCCACTAGGAGTCCCTTTACATTTCACTCTTAATTGCCCATTTAGGAATAGGCAGGAAATTATGGCCTAGCCAGTAACACCCACAACCCATGAATGATTTTTATAAATTGCACAGTAGGATACATAGGCAGTGAAAAAACAAAATAGTATTATTTTTAAATGGCTGATGGAAAGCAGCTTCAAATTAATTTCCAATATACTCACACATCAGCGAGTATGTGAATAAAAATAGTCCATTGTTAATTCAGACCTTCAGACACATCTTGCCACAGTGTAGCATTCGTGTGTGTATGACAATCAAAATCTATTACTACCCAGGGCCTAATTCCCTGGTGACAAATTGTCACACAATGAATCTTTCATAACTGAACAAAATGGGTAGGACTAATTTGGTAGTTCGTAAGCCCAAAGGAAAAAGGAACAGGAGTAGGCCATTTGGCCCCTCGAGCCTGCTATGCCATTCAATAAGATCATGACTGATCCGAGATTCCTAACGTCCACTTGCCTGACCTTTCCCTTGATTCCCTGGCTGATCAAGAACCTATCTGTCTCAGCCTTCAATACACACAAGGACTCTGCCTCCCACACACAGCTTTGTGTGGCAAGGAGTTCCAAAGACTTTCAATCCTCTGAGACAAGAAAATATTCCTCATCTCAAGCCTTCAATTGGTGCTCTTTATTCTGAGACTGTGCCCTCTGAGCTTTACCAGGCAATAACTTGACCAATTGGTGTTGTGCATAACTGAAACAATATCTACCATTTGAACTCAATTAGCATTAGTGGCTGCATTCTCAATTGCAATACCTCTGCAAGCCACAATCCATTTGCTAAGCATCAACTCTTTCCTCTCTAGCAGGATAAATATTGTTCTTCTTTGGAATTGCCCTCAAAAGTGCATGAGGATTATCTTCAAGGATTAATTCTGAAACACTCTGAGACATCTTTGCTAAAGGAAATCGGAGGTGTTAATACCTGGATTACTTTTACAAAGAAAAATCATAGAAACATAGAAGATAGGAGCAGGAGTAGGCCGTTCAGCCCCATGAAGACTGCTCTACCATTCAACAGGATTGTGGCTGATCATGGAGCTCAAGACCCTAACCCTTCTCCCCACCACGTCCCCCTCCCCATCCCAATATTCCTTGGTCCCTTTGACCATAAGAGATAGATCTGTCTCCTTCTTGAAAACACAATATTTTGTCCTCAGCTACTTTCTGTGTGAGTGAATCACACAGGCTGACTACTCTCTCGGTGATGACCCCTGTTTTTGGACTCCCCTGGCCATTGGGAATATTTGTTCCTGTATCTAACCTGTCTAATCCTGTTACAATTTTACAGATTTCTATGAAATTCACCCCTATCTCTCATTCATTTAAAATGCAATGAATTTAATCTGAACGACTCAATCTCTCCTCATATGTCAGTCAAGCCATTCCAGGAATCAGTCTGGAAAACCTTCGGTGCACTCACTGGGCAACAAGAACATCCTTCCTCAGATAAGAAGACCAAGACTGTACTCAGTCTTCCATGTGTGGCCTCACTAATGTACTCTCCAATTGCAGCAACACATCCCTGCTCCTGTACTCTAATCCTCTCGCTATGAAGGCCAATATACAGTTTGCTTCCTTATTGTCTGCTGCATATGGACCTGGGCAGTTAAAGGTTGAGCCCTGGGGAAAGTTACCCAACAGAGACTGATGGGTGCAGGTGCATAGTTCCTTT